CCCCCAAAAAAAAACCCAATAAAGAAAAGACCTAACCCTACCCCCTTACCCCCATCCCAACCCAACCCCTAACCTTCATCAAACACAAGGAAAGACCTAGTATCCCCCTAGCCCTAGGCCTACCCCGGGCCAGACCCTACCCCTACCCATACCTCTATCCCAACCCCTACCCATACCCCTGTCCCAACCCCTACCCCAGACCCTACCCATACCTCTACTCCTATCCGTAAACCTAACCCTAACCCTAACAACTCTCTATTTTTATCCGTTTCATATTGGTCGCTCGTTGCTGAATTCCTCCTCCTTAATAATAATACAATGTATTTTGCTAGAATTAATCGCGGTGAGAATTTGGTTAGAAACCGAAGAAAACCTGGCACTCTGCGCTCCTAAACAACAGAAGTAGATAAAGTCTGCGTGATCAACAATGGCTGCGCCTTGATTCAAGTCTACTAATCCCCGACTCAGACCTTCAAAACTTTAAACTGGGCCTAAAAATGTGCAAACTACCGTAATTTTGGCATGAACAGATGGTATAACAGTGGCTTTCGGTCTCCCATGAGGATTTTGGAAGCCATTGAGTATAATCTAGATTTAATAGTGGTTGCTCGTTACGGAAGTCCTCCCATTAAAAATGCAGGAGGGGGGGGGGGGGGGTGGTAGATCTAGATTTAGATATCTAGATCTAATCCTCCTGCGTCTTTACGGCCATTTTCGTGCGGTCTTCCATCATGTCCAAGTAGGCCTACTATCTAGATCTAGAATCTAGATCTAGATCTAGGAAATCCGAAATGTTACCGAAAACACGTCGTTCCATGTGGGCATCCCAGGAAGTGATGATATCACTGTACTAAAATTAGCAGCCAATCAGAAAGACGTCTTTTCTACGTTTAACGGCATGTCTTTTTCAATACAAGCTTTTAGAATTTGCCGGCTCTATATTTCTCCGAATGCTCGAGAAAATAAACTTATTGAACTCTATTTCTCCGGACGGTTTTTATGTTCTCGAGATTTGTTGGTTATTTGCCAATGGAGTGGCCCACACGCACGCCGCATGTGTGTGTGTATGTGAGAGTGTTTGTGTGTGTGTGTGTGTAAGTGCGTGTATAAGGTGTGAACGGGTTGGGGGCGTGAAGGGACTTTTTTTGTTGTTTACATGAAGGATTTTAGTTTTTGCTTTAGGGGTGACTAAATGCCAAATAGGTTACTGCAAAGTCGAACAGTCTTGTTTTCTCGCAGTACCTTTTGTAGGCATTTTCAAATGAAGTATAGTCCGGGAACGTTGCCCTAACCACAATTGAAGTGTATCTGAATATTCAGACATTTAAAAATCTCTAGATCTAGCTCTAGAAATTGAATTCGATTAAAAAATGCTTCCTCCCAGTCCTCACAGAATGGCAGAATGAAAGATGACGCTGAAATAGTCTCAAATAACCAAAAAATCTTGAGAACGGAAACCATTCGGAGAAATATAGGTCAATTTTATTTTCCATAGCATTCGGAGAAATAGTCATTTAGAATTTATCAAAGGAATAACTTGTAGCCTAATTATTTTTTTTAAGTGTCCCCCCCAATAAATAATTTCTTTTTTACATTGTAACATTATTTTACGTTATTTTAATAGAGTCACTATCGTCTTGCGACCGCTATCCATGCCGATTTGGCTTTTTAAAAAAATGTTTATGCATACTTCTGTAGTCATATGGGGGGGGGGGGGGGGGAATATCAGTCTTTTCGTCACACGCTCTTTTCGTCACACTGGTGCCGTCAAGACATCACAATCACAGTCATCTCGTCACACCCCAAATTCACAATGTTGAATGGAGACGGTAATTACGTAGCACACTTATGAACATCAAACGCACGTTGTCGTAGCAATCGCAAATCACAAATTTTTTTTGGAGGGGGGGGGGGGGCTCTGCGAGTCGTCGTGCCCACCTGATCAGCTACACCGTTCATTAATATGTGCCTATTGACAATATTGAAAACCTTTTGCGACGTTTTTTAATGCCAAAATCGCGTTCAGGGCCCTAAAAAAACCCTCATGGCCCTAAACAACTACATAATAACACCCTTTATGAGATGGAAGTGATTATTTAAAATTACCTATTTTACTTTTACTCCTCTGTGTCATGCTCAGGTATTCTATATAGCATTTATTTAGTGCTCATTTTTCTTCATTTAACATGATTTTCAACTTAAACTTAATATCGGTCTCAACTTATCAGTTTTTGAGTTAATGGTATTTTTATTCATACAATATGTGTCACGAGACGGTGAAATCAGGCACTCGTCAGTTTTTGGGCATATTGAATTATTGACTGGTATCATTTGAAAGCTGATTTATTTGCCTGCTTCCAATTAAATAAATATCGATCAATCTTGAATAGAACTCAAAATATTTGTGATTGAAGGAAGTGAGGTTGCCTGGTTTCAGTGGTGAAATTAGCAAGAAAATGGCCGCCTAAGTTTGGTAACTCCAATTGCTAAAGAGTCCTTGAAAACAGAAAAACGAGGTATTTTTTGCCTTTAATCAATGTTATCCAGTAATTTTTAACATGGAAATGTCTTTTTATACAGACATAAAAGAGGTTGAGCCGAAAAATAAATATTCAATAAAAATTTCCAAACTGCTGGGAAAATGCCTGTTTTGTTTCTCTGATTTTTGTATTTTGTCAAACGCTTGATTTCACCATGCTGCCTCACATATTATGATAGATGCATATATTATAAGGCCATTTAGGCTTAATTTCATAGTATGATAATTCACGAGTTTAAGCAAGTATTTTGTTTAACCCAAGGAGTTTAGAACTAATGGAGCCTCCTCTCTCTCTTCGCGGCGCCACGAGCAGTACGCCGCGGTGGGGATCAAATATGGCCG